GATGAGCAGGAAGAATCGGCGGAGGATGGGGGTGGAGGAAGACGAGGACAAGCAGCAACAGCAGCTGGAGTGGAAGGCGCGGGGGGAGCAGGAAGAGCAGGGGAGGGCGGAGGAAGGGGGAGGAGGGGGGCGACACCGATGAGGAATGATTCGGATCCAGAAGGGGCGACCCGCCTTGGAGCAAGAGCGCCTCTCTCAACGACGGGGGCTCGGCGAATACGTGGCTTCGTTCGTCTGCACAGTACCTGCGCCCGAGCTGCCAAGAAGATCCTACCAGCATGATACAGTACATTATCGATGCGAACCCTCTGGGCTTGTTATTCGAGCTCCAGAAACGCCTCGGCATGAAGAATCGAAAGAATGAGTGGATAAAAAAAAAACGACGGGGGCTCGGCGGCGAATCTAACACGTATGTTCTACCCACCGGAGCTGGCGCTCTTCAGTGGTGCGGCAATCCCAGGGGGGCTTTGTGGGTCGGCCCCGTGGGGCCATCTCCGGCCTTCCCCTCTCCGCTCCTGCCTCTCCTCCTCTGTCCCCTGGGGATCGAGGCTTTACTTCCCGCTCGCCGCGAACCTCCTCCTCCTCCTGCTTCTCCTCCTCCTCCTCCTATTCCTTCTCCTCCTCCTCCTCCTCCTCCTCCCCCTATTCTTTTGCAGCGGCAGCGGAGGAAAGGGACGCCTCCGCGTCCCCTCCGTCGTCTTCGTTGCCTGCATACTGCGCAGAGGTCGTACATAGTTCTTACTACGTGCGGAATTCGTCCGCCTGCAGAGGCGAGGCCAGGCCGCCTACTAGAAGTGTTATGAGCTTGGTTTTGAGGCAATTCCAACCCTGTATTCAGGTGATGAGCCGAATCGCTGCGGTGCACTGCAAATGCGATAGCAAACTCAGGAGAGCTGGGAACTCACCTTGAAACCATCATCTCCGACACGGGAAAGTCTAACCAAACTGCTAGACAGCGGCAAGTGGGGCACGGACAAATCGCGCGGGTAGACTGTGCTATTGGTAAGGGTCAAGACAACCTACCGCGAGCCACTGACAGAGCACAAACCTTGGGACAACCCGCCGCTAGATAGCGCGATGGGGCAATCCGCCGCCGGCGCGGCAACATTCCGAATGGGATCAGACGAAAAGGGGTTTAATTTTAATCCCGCGCCGAAGCACGGGAGTGAGGCTCCAGCTTCCACAGCGACAGAGCCAAGGGCCCCCCCTAACCTTTCGACCAGGTACAACAAGTCCTACACGTCCCACCTCGTGCTGTCGAACAGCAGTTTGCAAGACCGCGATCGGTGTTGCCAGGGTGGTCCGAAGCAGCCGCCGTCGAAAAGGCAACTCGATCTCGACTGCCGAAGTGCTCCACACATTGAGCCAGCATATCGCCGACGCGTAACAGCAGGCGTTTCACGACCAAAGTAGAATGCTGCGATCATCCGTCGTGGAATTCGCAAGTGCCTCGCAATCGCAGGACGTTCAGAGCGTGTACCCATGGGTTTGTGAGGTCATCGCGAGCGTAGTCGTTGCGAGCGCACAGGCCTGATAATCCGACCAACGAGTCACTAAGGGATCACACATCTGATTGAGCGCCATAATATCGTTGAAAACTTGTTTCAGCAACAACTACCAAACGTGGCAGGGCATCCCATCACTAATCAAGCTCATCAAGTCATGCAGACGTCTGAAAGACTCGTCCTGCAGCTGGAACATATCAACAACGAGTTAACTCAACAAGTGGAGTGCGCTGCCACTTCCCTGGCTTGAACAACGCGCGAAACCTTTGAACTTATACGCACAAGTACAGGAGGTGCGATCAACGATGTCATTCCCACATTGCTACAGCGACGTGGTGAGCACGCCAGAACCCTTGCATCTTGATTTGCAGGAACACGTTCAAGCTCTATCGGACAGAGCTCAGGGGGCGTAAGCAGGTAAGCGCTCACTGAAGCATCCAGGTGAGGAACAACAGCGATCCCCACATATCAAATGTGGATCGAATCCGAAATGCAGCCGCAGCTGGACTGGGGCGGATTGGTCTAAGGTTGGACCAGTTATCACGTACCGCTGACAACCATCACCAAGAGACGGCGATTTACATGACCGCTGTGCCCGGGCAGCCTTCACCAGCGACTAGGCATGCGAGCCCTTTCGAGCGGAGCACGGTGGATCGCAACAGCCGGTCACCGCCCGCGGCGAGAGAACTTGCGGACTGGAGAGTTGCTGGCGAGGCTCGTCCGCCACCAATTGGGGCCGTTCCTGCGCCCGACAATCGCGCGCTGGGGTAGCCCGATGCCCTGCTGCCTGCGGTGTGGCAATCCGGCGCTAAGGTCAGCGAGTCTCCGTGCAACGGCGCGTCGATTCCTGCGCCCCCGCTGCTATAACTACATCCTGAATGGAGGCTTAGCTTGCAGCGCGAAATTCCAGCTGCTCCGAACTATTTAGGGGCGCGGGAAAACCGATCATGCAGGAACTGTTGGCTCAGTTCCCGGAAACTTGAATTGCAACACTTCGAAGGCCTTCCGCCGTCCGAAATCGATCGGCCAGGGGCGGCCGAGGATTCATCTCGTGACCGCCAGTCTGCAGCTGGGGAGTTCGCGAATCTTCTGATGGGCAAAGATCAGCAATGCGCGGAGGCAGAGCGGCTGAAGTTCCGATCTGCCAGCGGCCCCCCTCCGAGTGGAATCGGGGCGTGCGCGGTGCTTTCAGCTCGCTCTTGGCAGACCTGAAGCGGCGCGTCGGTGGCTTCGCGAAGTCGAAAACGATGGCGCGACGTGCGAAGAACTTCCTGACGGCGGCGATATCGACGCGCTGGATACAGCGGTTGCATCTGCGTTGAGCGACGCACCGAACAAATAATACGAGGACTAACAACGACGGGCCAACGCCCGTGGGGGAGAAGCCAGAGCCCGCAACTGCCAAGTAAAGGGGCGATACATATATATATATATATATATGTATATGTATGTGCATATATATATATATATATATATATATATATATATATATATATTCTCTCCATGATCATGGGCCTGCGCCGGCTTGTCGAAGCTGACGCATGATTATTGGGTCTCTGGCTCGCTCGAGCTGTGTCGCGGTGGCGGGCGACAGTCTAAGCCAGTTCCTTGGAGAATGAGGTAATGCCGTTTCTAGCGTGGCATCCGCTCCTGCTGCCTGCCCTCCCTCGGTCAGAGTCAAGATATCATGGGGGCCGGCGCGGGCGCGCGGCGCGGGGCGGAGCGGGGCGGCCCGGGCAGATCGCGCCGCGGGCTCTGCGGGAGATGCTGGAAGCTTCCTGGGCGTCGAAGATGCAGTGCGTTGGAGAGAGGTGGCTAACGGACGTAACCGTTCGTTAACCATCTGGCTTGCTGCTTTATCCAGCCATCGTAACGGCGTCTCACCGTCACAAGTGGGGCGCGTCATTAGGATATGGGGCGCCGCTTTAGGATGCAGTGGCGGCGTCTTCACATCCAAAAAAGAAGAAACATATAAAACATAGGTGGTTAACGGACGCATGGGGGAATGGCGCAGCGGCCTCGGGCAGAGGTCAGCGTGGCGGCTGGATGCAGCGAGGCCATCTTCCATCGATGAAAGGCGGCAAACGCGCCTGCGGCGGGGCAGCCCGTCGCTGCCAGCGGACCCATGGCGCTCGCCAAGGGCGGCGCGCGCGCCGAATCTGGCCGCGAGGCCCTGCGCGGAGTAGCGTGCTCCTCCTATCCGAAGGTGGGCCGCAGGCTTGGCAGCGAGTGCGCATTCGCCCGCCTCGACAAATCTGGGGCGGCAGCAGTGATGTTCACCGCGAGAGCGTGGTCGCGGCCATCGCGGTGTCTCTCAAGTAGCCGCCATGGTGAACGCGGGAAGTCTTGCTCTTCTTGCCGCGCGCCGAACGGGCCAGTCGGCGGCCTCGCGGTCCGACTCGGCGCGAGAGACCCTGCGCCCACCTCGCGATGCAGCTGTCGCCGCTCCAGCGCCTCTGATCTTCAGGTTAGGGCGGGCCCCGAGTCGGACTGCGGGCGGCGAAAACGAGGTGCGCCTTGCGCCGATGACCCCAGGGGTCGATCCACAGCGTCCTGGCGCAACGTGGGACACCGTTGGTCGTCGCATGTCGCTCGCCGCCCCTGGCGCGCTGAGTCGCGCGGTGATTTCGAATCCGCGCGACGCGGACCTCGTCGAACGCCGTGACCCCCCTGTCGAAAGGTCCTCGTGGGAAGCAGGGGCTGGCATTCGCTTTGTCCCGCGGGAGCTGCGGGATCACGCGGCGGGGGGGGGGGGGCTCGTGAGTGTCAGCTGGCTAACGGCGTGCGCGTTGCAGCGAGCAGTTCCGCGCCGCTGATAACCGACCCGCCGCGCCACTTGGATCTCCGCGCCATCTTAGAAATGTTGATGGCGTCAAACCCGCTGAATCATCAGGGATTGCCTTCGGTGCCAGATGTTCCTTATATGGGCCACGCGTTGACCTTGGAGCTGAGAGTTACCGTCGCGCGAGATGCAGACAAAGACGCGGCGCTAGAAATCTGATTTGAATCAGCGGCTGGCACGCACTTCAAACATACTCGGGTCGACGAAGGTGCACCCGCTGACATCGGGGACGTCGCCTCGATGGCTACTGAGTCTTCAGTGGTTCAGCCCGGAGGTGTTCAGCCCGAGTCGCCGATCAGCGGTGCCGTGCCTTAGCGCCCAGTCATTCAGAATGCCGTCGCTCTGGGCGCTGCCCAAAACGACCATTTCCCGTTTATCGAACTAGCAGAATCCGATGCCCTTCAGGACCAAGACAAGGAGGTCGATGCGCAGGTGCAACCCAGCGCTGGCGACGCGCTGGAGCAATCCGACGCCGCGGGAGAGCGCTCTGCGCGTGACATAGAGAGCTGTATTGTAATCAACCCAGCAAGTGCCCCCCACGAGGGCGCGCCCAGGAAGCAGGCCAGAAAGCGGAGCGTTCGCGTCGAGAAAGGGGTCGCCAGGATGAAGAGGCGCGAGTTGCAAGCCGGTTTTTGCCTTGCGTCATCGCCCGA